AGGTAAACTAAATTAATTGATCTGCTGTTGGGTGGTGAGGGGAAAAGGACAGAGTTGATTAAGAATTAAGCCTCTTCCAGGGGATGGGTTGCTACTGGCAGAGCCATCCCTGTGCTGTGCTGCTCATGTGTGTCCAGGGAAGGCTGTTGAAAGCCATGCAGGGGCTGAGAGGGTCCATGGGGGACCAGAGTTTATGGGGTTGAATTAATTTATGCCAGTAAACAGAGGGTAGGAGGAGGTGGGATCACCATCTGTAGTGCCCTCGGAGGGAGGCAGATAACACTGTGTGGAAGGAAAGGTGATTTAAAGCCATTTCCAGTCCTCAAAGCGAATAAGGGAACTGTGTGGAAGTTGGGCATAACTGAGCAAGCGCATTGTGTCAGTCCGTGTTGGTGATGTTCAAGTAGCAGTGGCCATGGCTATGCAGTGCTTGATCACTTGACTCCTCACTTGCTGTGTACTGGAGGATACCTCCAGACTAGGAGCAGCTTGGACTTGGCCAGGATCCCAGGTCCAGCACAGCCAGCAGAGGGCACAGAAACCCTAGATGAGCCGTTTCTGCTCTGATTTTTCTACTTCGTCATTTTTTCCTAAAGAAAACACTGGGCTCTGAGCAGTATTTAGATGCTGGAGGTATTTCCAGAACAGCGTTTGACTAGTCGGGGTGGAAGGAAGATGGTACATTGGGTCTTGGCTTCTCTTTCCAGGGGGAGAAAGACTGGCAGAAGTATGAGGTAGCCCGGCGCTTAAAGGATGTTGTTGACAAAATCCGTGCTCAGTACAGAGCCGACTGGAAGTCCAAGGAGATGAAGAAGCGGCAAAGAGCAGTGGCCCTCTACTTCATTGATAAGGTATCTGCAGCCTCACCCTGACCCCCAGGTCCCCGATCCCTGTTGAGGTTTGGGCTTAGCTTACATGATCCCACCCCACCCTGTACTGTTTTGCGTGTCTGGTGGCTGTACTAGCCAGGGCTGTTCTTCATGAGGCATCTGGCAATGATCAAGGAGGACGGTGACCCCTATATCTGCTGATGCTTGTGTGAGGAAGCAGTTGTGTGGTAGTGCAGGAGCTGTACTGTCCTTCCTTGACTTTACCAGCATGTGTGTATCTGTGTGATGGCACAGGCCCTACCAGAGAGCTGGATAACTTTATGCTGGGGAGATATTTTAGGATTTCCTAAAGCAGTGAAATAATCTCCTGCTGGAGACAGTCACTACTTCGTTTCCAGCAGGGTCCCATTAGCCGCTCAGTGAGGCACTGTCCTGAGAGGTTTCTCTTCCCCCATCTCCCTCCTGGTGTCCACATCCATTTTAATAACCTTGGAAAGGGGAAATGAGGTGTGCTGGCATGGATGACTTGCTGTGTCCTTCCAGCTGGCCCTGCGAGCTGGCAACGAGAAGGAGGAAGGGGAGACTGCAGACACGGTTGGCTGCTGCTCACTGCGCGTGGAGCACATCACACTTCACCCCAAGCTGGATGGGCAGGAGCACGTGGTGGAGTTTGACTTCCTTGGGAAAGACTCGATCCGTTACTACAACAAAGTGTCGGTGGAGAAGCTGGTGAGTGGGGCAGAAATGGAGGCAGTGGCCAGCATGACAATTTGGTGTAGGGTCAGCTGGATGGCTTGGTTCACCCAGTGGTCATAAATCCCAAATCTGCATCTGAAACCTGTTGCAAAGATGCCTCCTGTGCTTCAACAGCATGGTGGCAGCAGGTGCATGAGATGCAACAGTGCAGGGTGATAAGGATGCACATGTGCTGACCCTGTCCTGGAGAAAGGGGAGGAACTTGGAGGGAGGGCTTTCAAGGTTGTTCTAGCCCATGAACCATGAGAAAGAAGTCCTGCCTCCTGCTGGAGCATCCTCAGTTGACTGGTGGGCATTAGGATGTGAACTGTGCTCATTGCTATTTTATTTTTTTGCTTTGCTTGTGGGATAGATGATTTTTAATGGTGTTTGTGGGGAAACCAGAGTGCCAGGGATAGCAGAGATGGGGGGCAAACAGCCAGAGGCAGCCCTTGAAGCTGAGAAGGTTGGTGGTGTAGTTGTACATGTCTGAATCGGAGTCTATCTGGATGAGGAGGCAGAGGGAGATGAAGATGTCTGGAAGCAATTTGCTCCTCCTCCCTGACCAGGGCCATCCTTTCCTCCTCTTTAGGTGTTCAAGAACCTGCAGCTGTTCATGAAGAACAAGGACCCAGGAGATGACCTCTTTGACAGGCTCAATGTGAGTTGTCACCTCTAAGCTTTTGAAAGAGCACTACTAGCCCGGAGGGAGTAGAAGCAAATCCCTGACAGCCCTGTCCAGCCTGCAGCCTCCCAGGCTGTGGCGCTGCACCAGCATCATCCCTTACCCTGGTTTTAACTCTCTCTTGCCTTCAGTGACACCACTGTAACTGTTTGAACGTCCTGTTGGGATGCTGTGATACTTCGTGGGTTTTTTTTCCATCCTCTTTCAGCACTGGCAGCATCTCTTGCTTCTCTGAATGCAGGAGTGGCTGCCTGCCTGCACCCACACAAGTAACCTGTGTCCCTGCTAAGGAGGTGGCTTTCTGCTCCTTCCCTCCTCTAACTCATCTGCTTGGGCTCTTTTTTTAGCCTGTGAAGGCCTGCCCACACACATGTCGCTCCGGGCATTGCTGGAGGTGTCAAACCTCAGCTGTTTGATGCTTTCGCACCTCGCAGGGGCTCGGCAGAAGTGTGCGAGGCTGCCGGAGCACAGAGATGCTAGAGAGATGTGCTGTAGCCATCCCTCCTGAGCTACTCCCCTGAAAAAACCTCCTCCCTCCTCTTCCTCAGGATGGATATGAGGTGCTGCCATCCACGCTCCCCTCTCTGCCTGCATCCCCTACAAAGCCACTTGCCCATCTTTCCTCTGAAGGGGCTGCTCCTCTCCAGTTATATGGATTTATCTGTGATAGGCTGTCTTGGTACAAGTAATGCTTCCTTCAAACCCCAAATGACTCTTCTTGGCATCTTCTGTTTCCTGTCCAACTGCAGCCCCACGTGCTCAGTAGATGTGATACGTGAGTTGTGATACTGGATGTGGAGATGTGTCCTCTTGGACACAGATGGGCAGAAATTGTTGACATCCAGAGAAATTCTTTGTGGATTTAGGTGGATTTTTTGTCAGTTTTTGGTAGATAAGGGCCTGACCCAACAAGTAGACTTGCAAGTTGAAGTTTATTTTTTTAATGCCTTATTTGGTTGCTTAGGCAGAAGAATGGTCTGGAAAAAAGTGCTTTATTGTCCTGCTTTCTGCTTGTTCTCTTCCTTCCTTTCCCCTGCCATTGTCCTATCTTCCTCCAGACATCCATCCTGAACAGACACCTCCAGAGTCTGATGGACGGTTTGAGTGCCAAAGTGTTCAGGACCTACAATGCCTCCATCACCCTGCAGGAGCAGCTCAAGGCACTCACTAACTGTGAGTTACTAACAGTGTTTGTGGTATCACCGACTGGATTGTGCAGCCGAGGAGCTCAGCGATGTCCACCCATTGCCTTGGGGTCCCTAGAACTGCCTGCCACTCCTTGGCAGGCGATACACCACGTTGTAGGGTGGTATGTAACTTATGGGGGGCTTGCAGCAGGTTGGGAACCATGCTAAGTGAGAAATAGTTACCCAGCCAGTGATAGTCTGACTGATAGCCAAGATGGGAGTATTTCTTCTTCCCCTTTCCTTGCATTGCTGACTGGCTGCATTATTTTTGCCTGCTGTGGACAGATGAGTGATGAGGCACAGTGTCAGATTCAGTGATGCTCAAGTGTCCTTCACCAGTTTCCGCTATCAGTATTGCTCTCCCCTGAGAAAGGATGGGAAAGGCAAACAACTGGTGGTTGTTCTGGTCTCTTCCCTGCCTTCCTCAACTCCCAGAAAGGAGATACAGTGATGCTGCCATTTATTTCCAGCTGAAGACAACGTGACGGGAAAGCTCCTCTCCTACAATCGAGCTAACCGAGCTGTGGCCATCCTGTGCAACCACCAGAGATCTACACCGAAAACTTTTGAGAAGTCAATGCAAAACCTCCAGGCCAAGGTGAGACGGACAAAACTGAGAGCCCTCAGACCTAAGGGAGGGTGAGCTGGTGATGGGGAGAGGGAGAGTGAATAACTTGATGCCTAAAGAGATCATGTTGATCACACGTGGCAGGGAGTGAACCAAGAATAGTGGCTTTTTTAACCAGGGCAGAGACATCAGTGACCCAGGGGGGTGGAGAGGGATGGTGAAGGCTCAAATGATGGATGAAGCATGCTTGGTGCAGAGTTTGTTTGTTGTTTTTCATTGATTGGTGTCGTCAAACCAAGTTGGGGGCCTTTTGTGGTGGCACAGCTTTGGCACAGTTGGCTCGGGACCAGGGAAACTGGTTTTCCTGTCTGACTGTTTGTGGGAGGACCATCTGAAATTTCATGGGTCTGCTATGGAAATACCTCAAACTACCACTTTTAATTGTCCTCAGCTTTTGTTCACACTCTACTGGTGAGCTTTGGGCTTTGCAGAGGGCTCCAGCACTGTCACGAGCCAGTTGGTCTCGGGTATTTGCACAAGATTAACAGAGAAGAGCCTCAAGTGTTTCTAGATTTCATGCTGTAAGGATTTTTTTTGTAAGATGCCAAGAAATGGTGAGCTTCAGCAGATGCTGCAGGGTCAAGTTGTTGGCTCTGCAGTGAGAAATTGAGGAGCGATGTGGCAAAGGAAAAAGGGAGGCAGCTGAAATCTCCAGGGAGGACAGAAGCACGGGCTCCCTTTGTGTTTGCCTTCACAGATCGATGCCAAGAAGCAACAGGTGGAGGAAGCCCAGCAAGAGCTGAAAAAAGCTGAAGATGAGCTTGAAGACACAAAAGATGCCAAAGCGGAAGCGTGAGTGACTTTTTCTTACAACCCTCTTGTGCAGAGGGCCTGTGGATGGGGATGGTGTGGTCCGACACCCTACGTGCAGCTTGTCAGAACTGACAGGCCATTGTTTGGTACCAGCTGCCTCCTGTTCCATGACAACCTGGCAGATGGATGGAGGTCTTGTGGATGGTTCCTTGCAAGGATAGGATTGCAAAGAGCTCTTTCAGGGGGATTTCTTTGTGATAGGGCACACCTCACTACATACTGAGACTTCAACCCAAGCTGCTGGCTTGGAATTATCTTACAAATGTCATGGTGCAAAGGATGCCCAGTTTGAGATTGGAGTTGGGGATACACAGACTGGACTTGATGGATATTTTTCTTGTGGGATTGTGGATTGTGGCCCATCAATTCTCTGCAGTAATCATTGCACAGGGTCTGTCCAAATTCACTCCCTCACCCCCTCCCGGAGCTCAAATGTGACTTGCTGCCCAGAGACAGGAGGAGCCTGGAAGAGAGAAACGAGGCTTATATTTTATATTTTTCTCTGTTTTTTTGTTTTGTTTTGTTTTCTGCTCATGCCCTGTGTTGGTGAGATACAAAGCAGGTTGTCAGAGATGTTTTTTGCTCGTGGAGCCTGGATTTGAGGGAGGTGGTTGTTGCTGGATACTGGCTTTTGTACTGGCCTGACCTTGGTGGCAATAACATTTTTTTTATAGAAGTGTCTTGTCAGGTAAAAGTACTTGAGAAATAGTTTAGTGCTGAATGGCATCTTTGACTCAGCCATTCTGGAGTATTTCTAGGCTCAGGCCTTATAAGACTTAGGGTGAATGTAAAGACTACTCTGAACTGAAGCTCATTGCCTTGCCATCATGCTCCCAGGCAACAGCAGACCAGGAGAACTGCTCTGTATTTTTCTCTGCTGCTTCTTTTCCTTTTTAACATGCTGTCTGTGTTGCTCTTCCTCTGTCCCCAGCAACGTGGAGAAGAAAAAGAAGCTGTTGAAGCGGCTGGAAGAGCAGCTGGCCAAGTTGAACGTCCAGGCCACCGATAAGGAGGAGAACAAGCAGATAGCTCTGGGCACGTCCAAGCTGAATTACCTGGACCCCAGGATTAGCATAGCTTGGTAAGTCTTGGGCAAGCTATGGGGCAAACTGTCCTTTAGAGATGGGCAGATCACCTAGCCCTGCCTGGGGAGGGGGATAAACACACGCCTGAGCCTTTGTTTCTGCCTGGAGAAACCTGCCCAAGCCCTGGAGGTGTTGTGGGAGGCCAGCGAAATCCAAAGCTAAGGCTTCCCTTGCTGCTAATAACTGTTTGCAGGATGTTCCTTCTGGGTTTAGGGCAAGAAGGGGTTACTTTGCCTGTCTCTCTGCCACTGCCGATAGTTAATTTAAGGAGCTTGGAGCTAAGGAGTTTTCATGGGTGGCAGATGCTGCATCCTGAGTGGAAGGAACTGCTGTGGCGGGAACAGAGCGGGATGGGTAGCACATCCCCCACTGCTGTCCTGTGGTCTGTACAGGTGCAAGAAGTTCGGCGTGCCCATCGAGAAGATCTACAACAAGACGCAGAGGGAGAAGTTTGCCTGGGCGATCGACATGGCTGATGAGGACTTTGAATTCTGAAATTCACGTTTGAATTCTGAAATTCACGTTTGAATTCTGAAATTCACGTTTGAATTCTGAAATTCACGTTTGAATTCTGAAATTCACGTTTGAATTCTGAAATTCACGTTTGAATTCTGAAATTCACGTTTGAATTCTGAAATTCACGTTTGAATTCTGAAATTCACGTTTGAATTCTGAAATTCACGTTTGAATTCTGAAATTCACGTTTGAATTCTGAAATTCACGTTTGAATTCTGAAATTCACGTTTGAATTCTGAAATTCACGTTTGAATTCTGAAATTCACGTTTGAATTCTGAAATTCACGTTTGAATTCTGAAATTCACGTTTGAATTCTGAAATTCACGTTTGAATTCTGAAATTCACGCCTTCCATGTTACGAGGTGCTGTTGGAAAGCCTTTTTCTTTTACATGCTGCTGCAGTCGTTGCAAGGGTGGGGCCAGGGGTGTTGTCTAAGAGTTTGATATGGGTATTTTGTGCCTTTTTTGCACACAAAAGCAACACGGTTTCTGGTTGAAGCAGGTATTGCTGACTTGTGACACTCATCCTGACTGCAGCGACTTTGACTCCTTTTCAGAGTTGCCAAGTGCTTAGGATCTTTTCTTTTCTCCTGAGTCTGGGAAGAAGATTGAATGAGAGCCTTAATTGTGCTGACAAACAAGATTAGATCTAATCCTATCTCCTTGATGTAGTGGAGCTGTGCTGCCCTTTTCAGACTCCCTGAATTGGCTTGATGGGAAGACACAAGCACTGAAACTGGCAGCTGCAGTGTAAGACATGGAACCTCAGGCTTCCTCCCTTGGGAAGAAAGGAAAAATCTCAGGGTTTTACCTGTCAGGGTATTTTGTGTCCTTTCACCACCAGGAGAGGAGAAAATTGTGCAATTGCACAAACATAATTGAAATGGGAAAAAAAATGTTGTGGGAGGGAGCAAATGTCGTGGCAGGAGGAAGGAGGGAGGGGAGGATGCTGGATTAAAAAGCAGGCTTCACATTGGAGGGATTAAATTCACCTTGGCATAAGCAAAAATGTACTTTAATCACCCCTGTGTGGTTAAAACTTGGTCTGGGAGAGGACATCTCATTTGGGGTCATACTTACTATTTGCTTCAGTTGGCTCTGGCTCAGCTCCCTGTATCCATAACAGAAACTAAACTGTGCAACCCCAGATTTAGCACTGGGAAAGGATGATGCTGGCTGTGGGGCTGGACCAGACTCTGGTGGGATGTAGGCATGCTGGGGAGTGGTATCAATCTTGCTGGAGCTGCGCCTGCGCGGGATGATGGCTTTGTCATCAGGCTGCATCCTCCCCTGTCCGCTCCCGCTGGGCATGGAGCAGGCAGGGACTGATAGCAAAGACCGCTGGTTCTTGCTGCCTAATTGGCTGCTTTTCTGAGGGGGGAAAAAAAAGTAATATCAGCATGTACCTGGCAACAGTTAGCCTCCATATCAGCGAATCTCAGGTGCAAGCAAGCTCTGGCATTGGTAGTAAAGCCTTCTGGCATCTCAGGGCTGATGTTCAGGTCATTACAGTTCAAAGCTCTTGGTGCTTCCCATGTGGTCGTTTACAGCCACTTGTTCTTGCGTTTAAACTGTTGTTATTTTGGTTGGAAGTCAGGTACTTGAAATGCATTTCATTAAAACAAAGCGATTTTTCTGAGTATCGGTGACTGGAGGCTTTTTTGCAACTCATCCAAGATGTCGTTCTGCTGTGAGCTTCTGGGCAGAGGTCTGAGCCAGGCCTCAGTCTCTATAATGGGATCTGTATATGTTTGGTTTTCTGCAGGGGATTAGGCTGGATAGGGCATCTTTTGCCTTCAAGCAAAGAGCCTGCCTGCAGATCTCAAAACCCATTTGTGTTTGGTCACTAAGGGCCTGTAGGCAAAACTGAGCCACCAAAATCGAATGGCTGCATGATAGCAGTAAGAGGAAAATGCACGGGTGAAGCCAGTGCTGGTTTATCTCACATCCACACTGGGGTGTGCTCCAACACTTGGCTGAGATGTGACAGCTTGTGAAACTCTTAACTGGATTGTTTCTACAAGCCCCAAGAGCTCATGTTGGTTTTAATGAGGCAACTGACGCCTAAACTGAGGATCTAAATCAATCTGAATGGTTGCAAGACTTATTTTTCTGGCAAAGGCAGACCAGTTATCAGCCGTGCAAGCAACAGGCAGGAGCTACCAGGCATGCCTTATCCCTGTGTTGGATTTGTACCCGTGAAACAGAGGTAACCAATTTGGTCCCAGTGGAGGGAGATGTTTTTCTTCCCACCCTGCTAAATGCTTTCTGGCTTTCAAAAAAAGGTTAAAGTGAGTATTTGCCGCGAACTGTGGTGGAAAGTTTGTTCCATCGTGAATAAGGGAGTAATTCTAGCCAATTCTAGTCCCTCTGAAACGGTGCTCCTGTTTTTCAGTAGCAGAAAAAAGGAGCAAGATACAATTGGATGAGCACTATGGGTGTTTCCATTGAACCAAGAGGGTTGTTTTTTTTTTTAACTATTTCCTAGAGAAAGTATTTCAAGCACCATACAAAAAAGGAGCTTCATTAGTAAGAGCAGCTGCAGCAGTTTGAACAGCTGCTGGGGGGAGCAGTGGGAAATCACCCCAGAAAGCAAATCCTACTGCAGATTTGCGGGGGAGAAATGAGTAACTTTGTCCTTGGCCTCTCCTCTAGCAGGTTCTTATCAGTGCTGTGATCTTCTGCTGGGTTAATGGGATGGAAAGGCTGGGTAATTGCTGTCCCACATGGTCCTGCCCATCCTCACCTTCTTTTTGCTGGGGTGGTGGATCCACAGAGTTGGTGCTGCCAATGTTTCATGCTTACAGGGCTGTGCTTTCATCAACAGCTCCGCTGCCTCCGTTAAAACATCCTGCTTATCTTCAAAAGGCCATGGTTGGAGCAAAACTGAGGTGGTTCAACTCCAGTGAGAGCTCAGCTAATGAAGCTGGAGGCCTTGCGTTTGCCTCCATTGCCCTATGAACCAGTTCTATGGGGCTTGACTATTTCTGCCAAAAAGCTTAGTGAAAGTGCATGGGAAGGGTGAAGCAAAAGCAAGGTGGAGAGTTCATGTGGCTTTTGCCTGGTATCAAATAACCTATACTGGGGTGAGTAACACAATGTGTTTGAAATAGCTGAGCTTCAAAGAGAGGCTGGTGAGTCTGGGGAGTGTCCTCCTGGCCCTTAGCCATAAGCAGGTGAGATACAGGTTGGAGAAGTTGAGCTGCTCACCATTGATATCACAGTGGCACAAAGCAGCAATCTGGCCTAATGCCCAGTCTCACAGGGATTTTTCCACTGCTCAGGACCCTGTGGAGCAGGATCATGGCCCATCACAGCCTCCTATGAGAGTAGGATCCCTCCTCTAGCTCAATGGTTTGGGGTTGCTTGGTGACTCCAAGCAATCCTGGCACACTCAGCTGAACCCTACCTGCCTTGGTCCTTCTGGGGATGTTTTCAACTCTGCTTCTCCAGTGAAGTGCCTTTTCTGTGGGCAGAAGCCTGTGCTTTGATGCCCGAGACACTTGGTAGCCCAGTCAAGATACAAGCATTTTTGCCCGTGTTTGACTAGTGAAATATAAAGTCAAAAGGCTTAAGATTTCTCCTTTGCAATCACCTCTTTTTTTATTTTATTTTAAAGCAAAAAAAAAAAAAAAAAAAAAATGGGTCTGGTTTCAGGCCAAACCAGAAGTGGTACCTTCCCTTGTAACTTCTTAAGTTACTACTACTTTTTTCATAAAAGCCTGTTGTTGATACTGGTTGGGAGGAGACCTCAAGGCAAATGTACCAGGGACAAAGCTCACTGCTCACACCGATACTGGCACGGGCTTAGGGCTGCTGTAGTTGCATAATGACACTTAAAAAAAAAACTTTATAGTGGCTGGAGAGTTTGTCTCCCTGCCTGCAGGCTGGGGATGTCCTGTACCATGTGATGGCACAAGGACAGCTCTGATACAGTGACTGTTTGATAAGATAAACCTCTGGGTGGTAGGAGGGAGTGAGAAGTTCCTCTTCTCTTGCTTTGGCATCTGCTGCCTCTTCCCAGAAATGCTGAGGTTGGGAGAGGGTCCCTGGAGGGCTTGAGTCCAACTTCCTGCTCAAGGGAGGGCCAGCTTTGGTTGGGTTGCTCAGGATCTTATCCAGCCACATTTCAATATTTCCAGGGAGGGAGATTCCTCCACCATATCGCAGGGTCCCTGTTTTGAGGGATCACTGACCTGGCCAACTTGTTTTCTTCCTTGTATCTGGTTGGAATTTCCCTTGATTCATCTTGTAACCAGCTGCTTGTCCTTTCTCTGTGCACCTCTGAGGAGAGTATGGCTCTGGCCTCTCTATAGCTACACTCCATAAAATATCTGAAGGCAACAACTCGATCCCCCCTTAGCCTGCTCCCGTCTAGCCTGTCCTATTGTGTGGGGTCATTCAGCCCCACATCTGGGACTTCGCTGAACCTCTTGATCTTTGATGAACTTCACCTTCCACCAAATGTGAGCTTGCTGAGCCTCAGAAGGATGTGGTAGGAGCTTGTGGCTGAAGGAAGTAGAACCATCTCAATCTGTAACTTGGGGAGGGGGGGTGTATGAGCAGTATCTCCCCCAGCATAGGAAGCTGAGCAGCTGGAGGCTCTGGTGGGGCTCCATCCTTGCCTTTTGCTTCTGCATCAGCGTCTTGGAGAGATAGGAACATAAAGCCTGCGTGTTGGCGCCTTTTGCAGACACTAAAGCCCTTAGACCGAGCTGTGCTCATTAGAAACCTTCCCACGTCCTGCTTTCTCCTGGGGATGAGTCAAGCTCTTGGTGCACGGCCAACAGATTATTGATCCTTGTTGATGGAAAAAAAAAAAGTGTATCAGCCTCCTGTTTCCTAGAGCTGCTTCCCATAGCAGTCGAGGCTGGCAGTGGGGTTTGCAGCACTGCTCCCCTGCCCATCGGGGCTGCGTGGGGTGGCGAAGGGGTCCTGGTGAATGATCTGAGGAAGGGCAGCCATCGAAGCTGCTTAG